GAATGCCCAGCCTACTGACGCTCATTTTGCATTGCAGGAGGCTTCTCGATCTTGGAAGCATCAATGTGCCTCGGTCGAGAGGAAAAATTACGCTCAGACAGTTAAAGTAGGCATGATAACTCGTAGAGAATACCTTATTTTCTTAATCTATGCGTAAGCAGGTAAACTGAAGTTCCAAAATATGCAATATTACTCATAACATTGTGGGAAAATTCAACTTTCAGTTCTTCATCACCCTGACGAACTAGGCTGAATACATCTTATATATGCATATATGATTTACTTTCAGTGTCAAAAACCAGCTTATGTATGTAAAATTGGAGGGATTTTATGAGTTCATCACTACATACTTCAGTCCCGTCAAAATCGTCGTGTGCCTCCGATCCGTGGATGAAGCTGTATTGCTCCCTTGAATTGGTTGATCAAGGATCCTGGGGGCCCGAGAGCAGACAACCTGTGATACCATTATGACTATTCACCGGTGTGAAATTGCAGTTGTAGACTTGATCCAGCATTCATAATATTCTATCAGATGCTATCAGATGAGGCTTTTTGGTCGAAATGAAAACGAGATTGGCCAACACCGGTTTGGCTGTATCCAGGCATTTGTTCACACTCGTCTGCATATGCAAAGACAAGAAAAGCCGTACACACACACACACACAACGCCTATTGGTATGCGTAAGTGGTAGCTAGTAGCTGAAGGTTTCCACAAAATCCGTTTCTAGGGTTTATAAACAGAATTGGGTCATCAGGTCTTTGTAATCTTGCTCCCGGTGTCGGATACACTTTAGACCGCATGCCCTGCTCCCATATTTTTGTCAACTTGTACGGATTTATCTTCCCTCCACCTTGCCAGATGACATGACTGCACACGCAATATCTTCCGTCTCATGTCCTACACTTCACCGCTTCCACTCCATTTCCTCCTTCTCTTTTGATCTGTCGTCCTGCGTTGGTAGCATGCTGTATACCATAATTAGTTGTCTCCCGACAACAAGGCCTCCTTCCGGTAAAGGGGGATCGACGATTGTCAGTGTGTGTGTGTGTGTGTGTGATTCCGGTGCTCTCAGCTTCTTAGAGAGCTTGTTTCCACTTGGGCTGGGCAGTGGTGGGCGATGCCAAGACCGGAACCGCCGTTCACACTGTCCAGGTCGCGTAGAAGACGTCATTTTTAGAGACTGGCTCCGAGAGAGCCCCACCGAGGGAAGTCGGTCCCGATGGAGGGTCATCCTCTCCGCCGGTACAGGCTCTCTTAGACTGCCTTTAAGTCACTGCCGGTATTCACCCCAACTCAGAGGCCAACCGCGGTTAAGCTGCCTCTTTGTTGGCGTCTCGTTCAGGCCAGATCATGCATCTGCGAGGCGACAGTGAGGCCGCCAGCTTTTGTAGAAACCCTAAAGGCTCGTCAACTAGAACCGCCAATTTAGTCGCGCCGGCGTCGGTAGCGATTTAGCTCCCGACTGACATGATCTTCTCCGTTTGGCCTGTCGGTCAACGCCGATTTTATGACAATTCCTCTCCCAACTGAGGGGAAACTACTTGGCCGTCGTTTCTTTACATATTTGTTGCCATAGTGACGGTTCCATCTGAGATGAGGCTTTAGAATGGCGTCTCATCGGAGTCGAATTCACTTTTTTCTGAATCACTGGAAGCCGATTCTGCGCTTTATTCTGCCTTGGAAAGGGCTATTTAGGCCCTTACTTGCATTTCGAGTTGAAGTGTTGGGTGAATAGATTCGAAGGTTGGTTCCACCAGAAGACGACGGCCGATTCCTCTTGACCAGCTGTCGTTTGGCTTTACTCGAACATGCATGCTGACGCTGTTTCCGAGGCAATTTCCTTCGATCCCGGTGAAAAGGTGCTAAGCTCTCGTCCGTCACATGACAAACATCATCAGAGCAAGGTATCATCGTCACAACGAATCCCCCAAAACCGGTATATATACTCTATATCTGGCCTCTTTGATCAAGTATAAAGTAATTTGGTTAGTTACGGTCATATGTCAACTTTTACCGTAACTAACCAAATCACTTTATACTTGATTAAAGAGGCCAGATATAGAGTATATATACCGGTTTTTGAGGATTCGTTGTGACGATGATACCTTGCTCTGATGATGTTCATCAGTGTGTGACGGACGAAAGCTTAACACCTTTTCAACGGAATCGAACGAGATTGCCTCGGAAACAGCTTCAGCATGAACCTTCCAGTAAAGCCAATCGACAGCTGGTCAAGAGGAATCCGGCGTCGT